TTTTTTTTTTTTTTTTTTTTTTACATTTCCTGGGGAATGCTGGGGCTGGGCTCCCCAGCCCTCTCCAGGCCTGGAGGCCCCCCAGCCACCCCCTAGCTAACTCCACGCCCTACCAGCCTTTCGTAATCTGAGCCCAGCTGCCAGGGCAAACACTGGCTGCTGAGCCAGGAGCACCAAGGTGAGGCTGAATCAATAGTCTGCATGTTGTTTTTCCTCCTTCAGCAAACAGACAGCTGGACCTCTCTGCCTAGGGCCACATAACTGTCCCCACATAGGCCCCCTAACCACCCAGAAGCCAAGCCCCTGGGGTGGAGGGACACTGGGAGAGGTCTCAGTGGTGCTGAGTGGGTATCCTGTCTCCTTGAGCAGTGCCGACAGGGCCCCAGTTGTCTCTGCCACTCCTGTGGCTGAGGCCACACTTTGCTGGGTGGCAAACGAAGGTACCCCAGCTTACCCAGAGCCTGGAGAGCTAGATAGGCAGGCTCACCACCAGGAATGCCTCATTCTTTTCAGAGGCTACCCTCAGCTATTACTGGCTTGCCTGGCTGCTTGCAATCCCACCCTGGAGGGTGGGGTGGGGGGGACTCCATATACAATTCTTGGAATATTTTCAGTTTAGACCAAAATAACCTGACAGCTGATGGCAGGAGACATCTACAATGCAGCTCTTGCACACCCCTGATGGGCAGACTCCATAGGGCTCCAGAACAGGCCTGGGAGCCACAGTCCCACAACACCCTAGTGCAGTGGTTCTCAACCTTCCTAATGCCTCGACCCTTTAATACAGTTCACGACCCACAGGTTGAGAACCGCTGCCCTAGTGGCTGGTTCCAGAAAGCTGGTTGAGAAATGGCTAGACTGCCAGACACCCCAGCCGTAGGTGGTGAAGAGACCCCAAGGTCTCCACTTAACAGAAGATGTGAGCCCTGGGGGGGTGAAGGCATACAAGAACAGGGCCACTTCTTCCTTTCTTGCCACCAGGACAGCTGCCTCTTGGGTCCAGATGTCATGTAGACCCTGCTGACCACAGAGCTGTAAGCCCTGCTGGGGCCCTCAAGTCCAGGCTCAGCTCATCTGGGTCTACCCTGATTCCACACTGTGGGTAGGGCCACAGCTGCTCTGTGTTATGGCTACTTAGTTACCCTGCAGCACCCGGAAAGAAAGCAAGCTTCGCGCACCACCCAACAGTCCCCCAAGAAACAGGACCAGCCTCCCCCTGCCCAGCCATAATGAGGAGTAGGCATGCCTTCCAGAACATCATCTCAGACAGCTGTGCCTCAGCATCCGGGATGGAGGGAGGACTCCTCACCAAAAAGTAAGAACTGAGAACAATGAGTGGGCTTTTTCTCACCAACCATTCTCTCATCTCCAAACTCTTGACTCACCCTCTGAGTCCCAATTTGTCTCAATTGCATTTCTTGCTGTATTTCTTGTGATCCTGTTATCACAGGGGACCCACCTCCAGCCCGTGGCCACAGACAGCTGTGGGTGCTCTTCCTGGCTGTGCTCTGAGGCAGAGCCCTTTGTCTAGCTCCAGAACCTCCTGACACAGAGAGCCACTCCAGGGCATCCACACGGAATCAACCTAAGGCACTAGTCTCGCCATGGAGCAAGCCACAGGAGGGTGGCTGCTCAGACACCAGGCCAGGTCCTGTTACTCATGCAGGAGGCTCCTGTGAACTGAAGTCTTCCAGTCCCTGCTCAACTATTATATACTGCATGATCCTCCACGACTCACTTCCTCTCCCTGGGCCTCAGTTTCCTTGGTGGTAAAAACTGCTAGACCAGCGGTTTTCAAACTTTTTTTTTTTTAAGCCACAGAATCCTTTCTTAAAAAATCAAATCTTACGGGGAAGCCCATTACAGCAAATAGTAAAACTAGGGCTGTTCTTGGTGAGACAGGGCCAGGCTACTCTTTCGCTGTATCCACACCTAGCCAGCAGCCACTCAGCCCTCAAGTAGGCCATATCACCTGGGTTCCCTTTCACTTCCCAAGTCAGAAAGAGAATCCCATCACTCTCGGGTAGAGAGGGGTCTGCACCACAGGGGCAAGAGAGTGGGGGATGTTGGCTGGGAAAGCAGGTTCTGACTAGTCAAGTGTCTGCCATCAGATCTGTCTGGCAAGCAGCTCGCCCCTCGATCCGACCACCCCACAGTGTCTTTGGCCAGGTCTCTGGCAAGGCAGCCACTGAGCTGGCCCGCCGGAGCCCGTGGGCCGCACCTGAGTCCTCTGCTGCACAGGTGTGCGGGCGGGGGGCCATGAATAGTCCCCTCCGCTCCCCCACGCTGCTCCTCCCCTCTCCCGGCGGAACGCAGGCCCTCTCCGGCTGCCGAGTGGGCGAGCGCCGGCGGCCCGAGGACTGCGCCGGAGCACCCGGCGCCTCTGGAATTCTCTCCCCATTCGGCCCCCACTGGGGGCCCCGCAGGCGCTTCCTGAGGTCAGAGGGCTGCCCTGGCCCCCAGCGGAAAAGTACCGGCGCGGGCAGGAGCGGGAGAGCTGGGCCGGCACGCTCAGGTGGGTTGCGGGGTGCCCTTCCTGCTCTCCGCGGCTCCACCCTCGGACCGGGCCCGGGAGCCAGTTTCCAAAGGCAGCTGAGCCCGGGTAGGCGCCAGCGCCCCCGACTCTCCGCTGCCGGGACTCCCGGGCCGCGCAGCCCGCTCCCTCCGGTAGAGCGGCCTGGCTCGGCCGGCTCCCCTCGGGCCCGGCTCCGGCGTGCTACCTCCCCCGGGCCCCGCGCCCTCGCTGCTTACCCTAGGGAGCCCAGGCGGGGAAACTTTTTTCAGGCGAGCGCCGCGACGGCTCCAGCGCCCCTCGGCCGAGCGGAGAGCCCAGCGGTGGGGGCCTGGGCTCGGCGCGGTCCCCGCGCCCGGCGGCGGCGTCACGGCGCGGCCTCGGCCAGGGCCGGCGACCAGGGCAGGGCTCGGCCTCTGCTCCGGCTCCGGCTCCGGCTCAGGCTGGGGCAGCGGCCGGGGCCGCGGCAGCGCGGCTTGTTT